TTTCCTCCCGAGCGCCGGGCGGGGATGGAGCTCCCGACACCCCCAAATCCGCTCCCTTTTCCTCCCGAGCGCCGGGCGGGGATGGAGCGGCTCCTGCGGGTTCGGGATCGGGGAATAACGCGGATGTGTCCGCACCCATGGGAGCACGGACACGGGGAGCACCCAGCCCAACCACGGCCCCACACGGGAGACCCGCAAAAAATCAAAAATGCCTCGCTGGGCCCGAGGATGGGGCTGAGCCGCACCCAGGGGCGCTGAATCCCCCTCCAGGATTCTCCATCTCTTTCCAGAATTCTCCATCCCCCTCCAGGATTCTCCATCCCCCTCCAGAATTCTCCATCTCCTCCGGGATTCTCCATCTCCTCCAGGATTCTCCATCTCTTTCCAGAATTCTCCATCCCCTCCAGGATTCTCCATCCCCTCCAGGACTCTCCATCCCCTCCAGGATTCTCCGGGATTCTCCATCCCACATTCCCAGTCTCCCGATATTTTCCAGCCCCCGTTCCAGCTCCGAGCCTTTTCTCCCTCCTGCTCCCAGTTCGGACCCCATTCCCAATCCCAATCCCATCCCTCTCTCGCCGTTCCCAGTGCAGGATAAACCTTCCCAGTGCCATTCCCGACCGCCAATCCCTGGAATTGAGCCCGGGGGTGCCGGGATCGCGTGCGGAGCCGGGATAACTCTGGCAATTCCCGAGGCTGCGCATCCATTATCCCACCCGAGCGGCTCCCGGGAACCGCAAACCCCGCCCGCTCTGGAAGTGAAGCAGCGGGAGGTTCATGGCTCCGGGAGCGGCGGAGAGCGATGGATTCGGGTTTGGAGCAGGGAAAATTTAAAATTCCGGGAGCCCGATTTCACCCGAGCGTGAGCTCGCTGCCGGAAAATTCATGACGCGGACATGGAAAAAGCGGATTTTCGGCACGAATCTCCCCAAATTCGTGGCCATCCCAGCACCGTCCCCTGCCAATAACGCCAAAAATCCAAGYCTGGATTTTTCAGACACTTGTTGAAGGTTGGCAAACCCAACCGAGGGAACGAGCGGCTCCCGGGGTGTGGAAACGGCGGCGCTGGAAGGGACAACAGCTCTATTTTAAGACGGAAAAAAAGGAAAAAAATAAAGAAAGGAATCAATATGAAATGATAACAGCCATCATCGCCGTTTAAATGAGACATTAATTGGAAGATTTAATTAATCCTGCGAGGCGGGGTTTGGGAGGACTTGAAATGTTCTCGCCCGTTGTTAATTGCTGGAAAATTGACTGCTGGGCTCGGTTGTTGTTGTTGGAGCACAAAGAGCCCTGGCAGCGCCTCCCATCCCCAAGGGATGCACCAAAACATTCCTCGCTGCCATCCCCGGGGCCGCGGACACTGCTCGGGCCCCTCAGGGCTGATTTTGGGGTGAAACCGGCGGGTTTGGGGTTCCCCACCCTCGCACGGCCTCTCCGGGGTTTGGGGTGACGCTGACCCCGCTCCCGGCCCGGGGCGGATCCTTCGGGGGGCTCAGGGAGGGGAGCGGCGGCTCCGGT